GGGTGGTGCATGCCGGGAGGTCGGGGGCGGCTACGGAGACCCAGCTCCCCGCGCAAGTAGGACGCCGGGGTCCCCGGCTCCGCGTCCCCAGGAGACTCCGGGTGAGGGAGAAGGCGAGGGAGGGGGGCCTTAAAGGGGCGACGCCGGGTTGGCGAGGTCGGCCTTGGGCCTCGCGCCTACAGGAGCCACGCCCAGCCAGGTGTCGGTCCCTGCGTCCAGCCCGGCCGCCGCCCCGGGGCTGCCCCCTGATGAGCGGGGACCCGCTGCAGCCCCCTCGGTGGAGAGGTCCAGAGTGTCGAGGGGGCTGGCACGGCCCCTGGGGAGTAAAGGGCCTGGTCGCAGCATCAAAATGAATTTTGTGAAGCGATTTCCTGCCGCTAAATTAAAGTGTAACCAACCGGTCGTTTAACCGGGGCAAGGAAGGAAGTGAACAGGCTGGGAATGGAATAGCAGTTTTCCCCTGGGCACGCAGACCCACTGCGAAATCCTTCCACTGTGGTGTTTGTGTTCCCTAGCTTGCCTTTAAAAGACGAGATTGTCTGGATTCTGACAGCCTCCTTTTCGGGCCTGCTGAGTCACGGAATATTCTCGGTGCCGGAATGACTCAGTTCACAGAACCTGAGCCAGAAGATCATGAGTTTTAGCCCCAGATCAGAATTTGGGCACTTACCCAGTGCAGATACACATGGCAAGCAGAGACGGAGGCAGGGAGGGTACTGTAAAAGTGGACCCGCCCGAAGGCAGCGGGTTTTAAACCTTTGCAGTCCCCACGGAAAGAGGATGCACATAGTGGATGAGACGGATTTGGGGTGGTTGTTTTAATTTTTTTTTTTTTTTTAACTTTTCAGGACCTTAATGACCAAGTGAGAATAATAAATACACGGTAGAACACAGACACACATACAACACACGGGGCTTTGGACCCAGTCAGTAGTCCTGGTAAGATAGGGATAGAGGGGACCTAGAACAATGAAATAAGTAAATGTTAGGTGACTATGGTTAGGGTCAGTGTTAGCCCCCGAATCCCTAATTAGAAGGACCTTAAGAATAATGACCTGGTTAGTTGGAGGGAGAGGGGGCGGAATCTAGGAGACTTGTCACAATGCTGAGCTTCCTTAGCAAATACATGGATCACATATGTTTATTTTATGAGATGTGTAGAGATTACACTAAAGGTCTCTAATGCCTCACAGTTCCCCTCCCCTGCACCTTCTCTTTGGGAGAAGAAAGTTGTGGGGACTGTAATAATGTTTTAATCCTTTCATATTTGAGTTGAAGCAAAATAAATATATTCATTTATACTTCCAGGGGATGATATTCTCAGTCCCTCGTTGTACTTGAGAATAAACGAGGACATATGGGACAAACATAAGGATGTGAGTTGTAAATAAAACTACAAATATTTTTAATAAATGTATTTATATTTTAATGAATTTCAATTTTAATACATATATTAATGCATTTGCTTATTATACATTTCCAATACTTCATTAGATATTGGCAAACCAAGGGGTGGATCTTTTTGTTTTCCACCAACCAAAACAGATAAAACAGATAAACTGTCAAAACAGATAAAGGAGACATCCAAGGTTGCAAAATCAATATAAATGTGTTTCCTCTTCACTGCTCCCTTTTGGGTCCTAATGTCCAAGGTTAACTTCAACCTATTACTTATGCTTATTTACCCCATAATTTCATTACCAGAACCTCATCTGGCATTTGTAAAGCACATACAAAGACCTTGAATTAATTTCTAAATTCTATTGCTCATAGCAATGTGGTACAGTGACAAGGAAGTATCAATTTTGAAGAGAGATGTGCTTGATGATCAAAATCGTATTCCATTGTTTGGGTCTTGATTCAAACAAACCAAAGGTTAAAACAAAAATTTTAAGATAATTTGGGAAATTTGAACACTAACTAGATATTTGATATCAACAAAGTAAGTATTTTAGATACCTGGAGATGCCACAATCAGCATGGTGAAGGCTATTCTTTTACTACAACTTACCCTGTTTTTCAGAAAATTCCAGAGCCTTTTTAACGCGTGTTCTAAATGCTTGCAAGCCCCATTATCTACTAAACAGAAATGGTACTTAGAAGAAAAATGTGAAGGTATGGGAAAAACTGGATTCCCATGCCTCAAAAGATTATCTGAGTTCCCAGTCATCAGTGCCTCTATGGAGCAAGAAATGCAGGATGAGGATATGTAGTTATTTATTGTACAGGCAAGAGAGTTCCACATTTTTTTAAAATCCCATTTAGAATTCCAGAGAAAAGAGATTTCTCCCTATCAGGATCTTTGAAATTATTAAATAATTTCAAGGAAGGATGCTGATTGGCCCGACTTTGGTCACCGGCAGATCCCTAGGCATGCCCACCCCTAGCAGGTGAGTAGAGTAACATGATTGGGAGCCCACCAGAAAACCATGGAGTTTGGGAAAGCAATTCAAAGGAAAGGTTGCTGTTGCCAGAAGGGGGCAGGTTACAAGGCAGAAAAAAACAACAGGTGTCTACTACATCAGGATTTAGAATCTGTGATATAATTAGAAAAATTTAAAAGTTTGTATAGACCTTTCAAGATTGCAACTTTGTTCCTTTTTATCCTTTTATAATTACCAGTGTGTTTATTTTTCCATTCCATAGTCTTTCTGATCTCATTTCCCTGTATTCTTCCTAAGTCTAAGCACCACTATACTATGTTTTATCTTTTATATTTAGATGTGTAGACTAAAAATAACAATGATTAATAATAATATAACAATGTTAGCCTATTTATACACCCTGTATTACACTTCTCAAAATTACATATTAATAATAATAATATAACAATGTTAGCCTATTTATACACCCTGTATTACACTTCTCAAAATTACACTGAAGCAGATGTTATCACCTATGTATAGTTGAAGAAACTAAGGCTCAAAGAGATTAAGTAATCTCTACAGACTAGTAGGAAGCAGAGTTAGGATGAAACCTGCTCTTTCTGGATCCTTGTCCAGAGCTGTTTCCTGTTCTGTTGTGTAAAGGTCACAAAAGGGAAGAGTGTAAACGAAGAGCTACCTCACACTTCCAGGGTTTTTAGGTTATCAAATGAAAATTTTAAATTAGGTGAAAATCAATGAGATACTGGAAAGAATTACAATATCCCCCCTTCAAAGTAACTGCACATGATACTTTGCGTTAGGTTTATAGATCCTGCCTGGCTCCTTGGTTCTGCTCCAAGCCTAACAAGATAAGATATCTTTTGTGGCCGTGCTCAGGTAAAGACAGGATTCTTCCTGTATGAGGTAAACCCCTTCCTTCCCACCCAGCCCATGCACCCAATTCAAGCCATCTTTATATTGTGATACAAGTTTTAAAAGAGAAAGAAAAGAGTGACATATAATTCATAAGATTTAAACCAGTAATTTATTACAAAGATAATAAAAAAGAAGTATTTCCAAGAAATGAGTAGCAAACTCCACCCCCACCCTCACCTATTAAGAGAGAACTTCACATCTCAAAAATTTTATTATTCTATTAACCAGATGTGAACTGCATCCCACTATAGAGAATAGAGAGACAAACAATATTTTATATGAAGATGACATGGTTTTATCATGGGAACGCATAATATTCTTAATAAGTTGTTGACCCTGATGGTTAATTACTGTTAGAAAGAAAGGGTAATTCTTTTGAAACCAAAGTTATTATAATTGGTAATTTTCTCCAACATTTAATTGCTTTATAGTTTATTACCTCATTCCGTTATCTGGGTATTTATTGCAACAGATTTTTTTGGAGGTTATACCTCAAAGTTGTATTGTTCGAAATTAGAAGTTCACAGTTCCTTGAGTGAGATTCTTCTGGGGGCTGTGGTAGAAGGTTATAACACCAGCTTTAAAATTTTTTCAAACTTGGTAGACACTGCCAAACTGTTTTCCAAACTAGTTGTGCATGAAAGTTGTTGTTTCACCATATCCACATCAACGCTTTGTATTTTCAAATCTTAGTCATT